ATGCAGAACGGGCCCTTCCCGCGGCTCCCGGCGCAGCGGCAGCCTCCGAGGGAGAAGTGTCGGCCCTGGGACAGGCGGCGCCTCACCCCGCTCCCGGCCTGCCCTCGGGGGTCCCTGTGCCCGGCGCTGCACAGACGGCTGCGCCCGCCAAACGAGTCTGGTTCTGCCGGCGCAGCTGCAGAGCTGATGCTCCAAACCGCTGCTGCGTGGAGAAAACTCCCTTCGAGCCCGTCGGGGAGTTAAGTGCTGGGAATTAGCTCTTGCGTGTGAAGGGGCATTTTCCGTTCATTTACCGGGTGTTTCCTGGCACGAACCACCCGTAGCGCGAGGCTGCTGCTCGGAAGGGCAGTTTCCCCCTGGGGGCTGTCGGGCGGCCCAGGTGTCCCCCCAGTAGGAAGAACCGGGTACAGGGAGGCACTGAGACCTTTCGCCTTCTGGGTGAATTTCCAGGCCCTTGTTACGCACTTGGGAAATGCAACGGAATTAACACCTTGTCCGGTCCTTCTGGGGCTTCCCTCTCTACCACAAGCCTGTCCGAGCTGAGTGTAAGCCCTGAGGGAAGTTCACCTGCCCGTGAAATGAGTCAGGCTCCTGTAGGGAAGAGTCGTCGCAGCTGGGCTGGCCTAGGATGGGCTTCTAACTGGGTTTTTCTGTTTCTTGCCCAGAGGAGATTGCCAAGCACAAGGGCCCCCCTGTCTTCACGCAGGAGGAGAGGTACAAAATGGTGCAAGCCATCAAGTGGGTGGATGAGATTGCTCCAGGAGCTCCCTATGTCACCACACTGGAAACCCTGGACAAATATAACTGCGACTTCTGTGTGCATGGTGGTGAGTGGAATTCCGGGTGACGGCCGCGTTCTCACGGGCTCTCCGGGGCTCTGGGTTTCGTGCGGGGCAGTGTGGCTGCTCCTCTGGAGACGGGCGCAGGTCGCTGGGCACCCTGAGGGTGTTAACAAACACCCCTTCACTTACAGAGGTGAAACGCCTTGTCTGACAATTATCCCGAGGCTGCCTTTAGCACTAGCAGAGATTTGTGTGTAGGGGAAAGTCATTTACAAAACTTAAATGTGAAAAACACCGTTAAAAATGTAAAGAGTGCAGAAGTACAGTCGTGTTTGTATCTCCTTACCCTGGGATGAGATCAGATCTGAAAAGCTCCTCTCTGTCCAGCTGATAAGCTGTTCAGGGCTTAGCTGACCCTGTGGTCAGAGACCTAGTTCTCGATATGAACACTTCTCAGCTGGCAGTCACTGACGGGAAGCCGTGTTCTGAGGAAGCATTCTTGCTCTTGCACTCTGTCCCTTCCTAGGACTGCTGCTCGTGCTCGTCTGGCCTCAGCCCCTCCTGTTAGTTTAATCAGGACTGGTCTTTGCACTCATCCTTCCTTATCTGGTCCCAGCCACCTGCTATCCATAAGCAAAGTATTTGATTAAATGTAAATAAATCATTAATCTTCTGCAAGACTGATAAGGCTTTTTCATGTGGATGGGGTGACTGTCAGAGTCCTCATTAATGGAATTGCCTCCCTGAACGTGTTTGGGGCGCATGACCCCTTACTGGACTCGGAGAGGGATTATGGCAGCAAAGTGCTCGTGGCCTTTGCTCCAGTTTCCCTGCGTTTATCCTCTTGGCCAAATCATTCAGTGCTTCTACCTGAAGAACACACTCGGGCGCTGCAGTTTTGCCAGGCTGTGTTTGTGCAGAAGATAAGTTTTGAAATAGCTGAGCTTAACAGGGCTGGTGACAGGCGGCAAAGCCGCTGTTTCTGCCTCTCCCCCGGCATGCGGGGCCACGCTTGCAGCGTGTTCTTGTCTGTGTCCCTGTGCCCCGGGGTCAGGGTGTGGGGTTTTGGAACTCTTGGGCCTCCCTCAGTGTGCTACGGGACTGCGTGAGCTGCCAGCGCCTGCGCTGTGACCTGGCTGTTGTGCCAAGGGAAAGCCAGCTCAGGTTTTCCCTTGTGAAGATTTTATACTATGGCTACGAGTAGATGAGAGGTGTTTTTGTTGGGTGAGTTAGATGAACCAGACCTGACTCCTCGGGAGCGTAGCATGATGTCACTGCAGAGGTGCCAGGGCGGAGGGGAGGAACTGGCTGTTGGAGACTGGACAAGCTGTAACATCGACGGCTAAAACCAGTCCTAGAGAAGTTAAGGTGCTTTTTGAGATGGAGACTGGTGATAACTGTTTGTTATTCAGACAGTAATTCATCCGTGCCCGCTGCTGGATTCACTGCGGGGGCAACCAGCTTGTGCTTTCTGGACTACCTAAAGCAGCGGACCAGGCGGCTGCCGGTACGCAGCGTCCAGGAACAGGCTCGTCTCCAGGGATGGGGCAGTCCCGCGACTCCGAGGCTGGCTGCGGTGCTGGGCTCGCTGAGCTGCTGCCGCTGTCGTTCTAAAGCAGCTTTTGTGCAGGAAGGCTTGGGGTGCAGTTCCGAGGCTTTTCTCTCTCCGCAGATGACATCACCCTGACCATAGACGGCAAAGATACCTACGAGGAAGTGAAGACAGCAGGGCGGTACAGGTAATCCGCTGCTGCTGCTTACCCGCTTTTGGGCTGTTTCTGGGAGTTCGTGCCCTGAAGGGAAGCCAGATGAAGCACAGATATCTTCGGGTCACACTGATTTTGCTGTAACGTGTGTCAGAGCTTCAGCTGCTCCCACTATTTTGGCTTCTGGGAAGCGCCGCAGGCTCGCGGCTGGCTGGCGGGAGCTTCCTGCTCCTGGCGGACGCTGGCTCTGCCGTGGAGCCTCACGGGTGTTGTGCTGGCGGGAGCTCGGTGCGAGCTGAGATTTCCTCCTAGGAGCAGTTGCTGTGGTGTGAAGGAGATGCAGAGGCTCAGCAATTGGTGCTGTACTCTAGATTGAGAGCAGGTAGAAGGAAGAGTTTCTCGGGACAGCCCCTGGTTTGAGTTGTTCAGGGGTCACAGGTGTCCGGGGGGACGGTGGGAAGAGGAGGCGGCGCATGCTCCTGTGGCTCCAGCTTCACCCTTTGCTTGTCTCCCTGCAGGGAATGCAAACGCACCCAAGGTGTGTCCACCACCGACCTCGTTGGCCGCATGCTGCTCATGACTAAGGCTCACCACAGCAACATAGTGAGTCGGAGGGCCTTGGGCGGGAGCTCGGAGTCCAGGGCCTACGCCAGCTCTTTCCCTTTTGCTGACCCAAAGGGCAGTAGAGCTCCCAGGCCTCTCCCCAATGCGCCGGCACCGGCAAGCTGATTGTGAATAGTGGCAGCAGAACAACCTGCTCAGGTTTGCTTAAGCCTGTCTGAGATCGCGGCGTGATCTCAGCCCGTGCTGCTGTGGAAGGGCGTGAGGGGGGATTGGTGATTGGTGAGGGCTGCAGGAACGTTCTGGGAGCTGCAGGCCAGCCTGTGGCTTCTCCGAGCGTGAAACTCCGTCGTGCGGCCCCGTCGATCCAGCACACGACAGTCTCCCTTCCCACCGAGCCGCGCGCTTCTGCCTTCTGCTGTCCGCAGGCTCACCAGGCCTTTCGCTGTCTGTTAGATAGCTAACCTAACCAAGGGAAAGGAAGGGAAGGAGGTTTAGGCTCGTTAGCGAGTTGAATTGACTTGGCAAGCAAAGGCTCCAGTGAATGGAGTCTCCCAGACTCCTTGTCCCCCCGCAGGGGCAGGACAAGGGACTCGCAGGAGAGTTCAGGAGTGGAGGGAGATCTCAGTGTGCCGAGCTGTTCCGCTGGCTCTGCCCTAACACGCGAGGTCAGCGACGCCCGGCAGGGTCTCCCCGCTGCCTGCAGAGGTCGGAGCCTCTCTGGAAGGAGACAGGAGGAGGGACACTGTCCTCTCAGGGGCTTGAGGGAGGACGTCAGTGTGCAGGTAGGGCAGGAGCCACCGTCGCTGCGTGGTGGCAGGCTGGGATCAGATAACGACACGGTTCATCTGATCGTGCTGGGACACGACTCTGGTTTAGATATTAACTAGCTCGTCAGCGTTCGGTGCCAGGGACCAGTGAAGTGCACCCTGAGCCGGGACTTCCCAGCACTTCTGTCACACACAAGCATACGTGAGCGCTTAAACATTCTGACTCTGTCTCCCTTCAGGATGAGGACCTGGACTGTCGGAAGCACACTGACAACTTTGGGAAGGTAACGTGAGTTCTGCTTGTCGATGTCTGGTGGCTGTCCTGTCTGAGGAGGATTCCAGATGTGCTTTCTGGCCTGTGTGGCAGGCTTGTTTCCCCTGCTGTGTTGCACTAACCCCAGGAATGTCACAGTAGCTCCCGCAGTCAGTGGAATAGGCAGGTGCGGCCGTGCAGGGCTGGGGAACTGCCCTTTGGTGGTGCCGCAGAGCTGCTGCACCCACGGAGCCTTCCCTGTGTTTCTGGCTTGCTTGTAAATTCTTGATTGCTGCTTCCTTTGGGACCTGAGTGCCTGCAGTTCCAGCCTCGGGACAGCCTCTGTGGATGCTCCTTTTAGTGCTGGTGTTTCAAAGGTGCTGCATGAGGTCTGGCAAGTGTTTACGTAGAGGCACGTAGCTCGCTTGCTGCGCTGCAGAACTCGCGTGCCTGGTCTTCAGGCAGCAGAGCAGTCCTGGGCTCCTCTGCCACCATGCCCAGCTCACGTCTTGGGCTGCCACCAAAGAGCTATCGGCCACTTTTTTTGCCCTGGGTATTGGATTGTCCCTGAGTAACGAGCACCTGGATGTACAGCTTGAGTAAGTCTTGCTCAGAGGGGGCCTGCTGACCAGGCTGGGCCATCCTTTGTTCCCCACCACGCTGGGTTTTTTGGGCAGGCTTTATGGGCCCTGTTGCTCCAGCATGGCTGTTTCCTGGTGCTGGGGACAATATGTGGGCACCAGGCCCCTGCACAGCCCCCCTTCTGCGTGCTGCCCGCCGTACGGCTGGCCCCGGTCCCGCTGAGCTGGGAGCTGTAGGGCAGCGGGGCAGGGGCCGCGGCGGGAGGCTCGGTGCCTGTTTCCGAAGCTGCCACGCGGTGGGGATCAAGCTCCGTCCTCGTTCCAGTGGCGCTGGAGCTGTGGGTGATCCCCTCCCAGCCCCGCGTCCCTCACCCGGGCAAAGGGTCGAGGGGCCGTGAGGCCCGAGGAGAGCGTAGGTGGGTTGTGTGTGTCCCCCTCGGAACGCTTCGCCTTCCTGGAATCAGGCTGCCCTGATGCCTTTCTCCTTCCTGAGCTTGCCTCTCGTCCCCTTAGCTGGCTCTTGAGGGGACGCGTTAGACTGGGTTTGACCGAGCAGATTGCTGAAATACTTGGTGCAGAGTGTGATGTCTGACAGCAAATTAAGGCCAGCACGCCGCTCACAGCTGCGTTCTGCGTGCTGTCCCACCCCGTCCTGGGCCTGCAGAGGAATCGTCTGTGGTGTCTTCCCAGGGGCCCAAAGGCCGCAGTCCCTGGACAGGCGTCTCGCAGTTCCTACAGACGTCTCAGAAGATCATCCAGTTCGCGTCGGGGAAGGAACCGCAGCCAGGAGACACCATCATCTACGTGGCTGGAGCCTTCGACCTGTTCCGTATCCTTGACTCTGTTTTGTGGAGAAAGTACCATTGCTCTTTGTGTTTGATGTTTTGTGTTTTAAGGCACCAGACTTAGATATTTGCCTCTTTTTTTCCTTATTTTTTACTTTGTATGTGTGCATGTGCGGGAGGCAGGAGTTCTTACTGGCAGTTTCTTAGGCACAGGACACTGAGGAAGGAGCTATAGCTCCTCGAGAGAGAGACGTGTGGTGGTTGGGGGGTTTCAGGAGGATGGCTGGCTGTTCCCCTGCTCTCCAGACCAAGGGACTGCACAGGGCATCTGGAGCAGACGCTTCCTCCCTGGGGCAGCTGTTGGGGCATTGTGACAGAACACCCAAAATGGGCAGAAATTCTGGATGGAAGCAAAGTTCAGTCTGGGTAAGGTGGAGCTGAAAAGATTCCGGTCAAAAAGCCAGAAACCTGTGGAGCCTGAGGAGGGAGGTGGCAGCTGTTTTAGGATGTCGGCATCGAGTAATGCAAAAATGAAATCCTTGGGATTCCTGTCTCCCTCTGCAGTTTTTCAGTGTGTCTGTTTCTGTCTTTCCCTATTTCCCATGTCAGCTTCAATTCCTTAAGCCAATCTACAGATATTGGGCACGTGGATTTCCTGGAGAAGGTTCACCAGCTGGCAGAGAAGCCCTACATCATTGCTGGGCTGCACTTTGATCAGGTCTGCGGTGACGTTGTCCCAAGGGCAGCCTGGCCCCTCCTGAAGCCAGCGGGCTGTGCCAGGAGGCGGGAGGGGAGGGAAGGGCCGGCGCGGGACTTTCACTTGCAGAGAAAGCGAGAGGGAGGGGGGCTGCTGCGTCTCTTCTAATCGTGCCTGGTGCTTTGCCCTAGGAAGTAAATCGCTACAAAGGGAAGAACTATCCCATCATGAACATCCACGAGAGGACACTCAGTGTCTTGGCCTGCAGGGTGAGTGCCGGGGTCGGTCGGTGCCTCCGCGCTCCTCCAGGAGGTGCCTGGGGCTGGGCGGTCGCCTGGAGAGTTTGTTGTGCACCGAGAGGGCACAAGACTGATCCCTTCGGGCGGCCGGAGGTGCTGGCTGCTCTCGGGAGGAGTCGGAGGCCCCCGGGTTGTCCTGGTTGAGCCGAGCTCTGGCCGTGGGAAGGCAGGTTGTGCCTGGCTGTGCTCTGGGCACGGACAGCCCTGTTCTTGGAGAAAGCTCTCGCTCCCTGCAGCAGGAGAGAAAATTCCTGGGAAATAAGTGTGAGGAGGCCCAGAAACATGTGCCCTGAGCAGCTGACTTCTGGATTTGCTGTATGCACGCTACCAGAAGGCGTCTTCTTTAGTGGAACAAAAAGATGCTGTGTGAGAAGCTGTGGCTACTAAAACCGCTCCCATGTTCCCTCATTTGAGTCCCTGATTCTATAACCCACTGACCTGCTAAAGTCTGTTTAGGAAAGAGGCTGGCCTCTGTTTTGGGGTTTGTTTTGGGTTTTTTGTTGGGTTTTGTGGTGGTTTGGGTTTTTTTCTCCCAAGTCTGGACTGTTTTACCTGGTTTCTTTTCCAGTATGTCTCCGAAGTGGTGATTGGAGCCCCCTACGCTGTCACTGCCGACCTGCTGGATCACTTCAGGGTGAGTGTCTCTGTGTGCAGTTGGACATGAAGGTGTGATGCGCTTACGGGGCCAAAGTGGTGCAGGGAAGCACAAGGGTGTAGAAGAGAGATGGTCCTGCTCGGCAGGGGTGCGGGGGGCTCCAGATGTGCGGCTGTGCTGGTCTCCAGCTGTGCTGCAGGGAGGGCAGTGGCAGGGAAAGTCCCTTCACCTTTTGGATGTTGTCGGTGACTTTGTGTCCTTCTCCAGGTGACGCTTGTGTGTCATGGGATGACTGAGGTGGTGCCAGACAAGGACGGTTCTGATCCCTACCAGGTGAGCTGTGCCTGCTGCTGGGGGAGGCAGCGTGGCTGTTTTCGTGTTCCTGAGCAGGGAGTTTGTGTTGCAGAGGACGCTCCCCAGGCACCTCCTTGGCAGGTGATGCTGTTTTTCATCCAACCCTGAGGGCAGCTACTTGGAGCAGAGCCTGTAAATCACTTGCAACACCTCCATTCTTTTAGTCATCGTTTTGTTTTGCCTGTTTCTGGTGCCTTTGTGGCAGAGCGAGAAATCCTGTGCTCGTGCCAGTCCCGGGCAGCTCCCACATGCCTGAAGCTCTGCTCGTCATTTGTTTACTCTGCGTCTCAGGAGATCGTTGTGTGTCGTGCCTGGCCGGGTGCCCGCAGGACCCGCTGTGACTCCTGCTCAGCTTTCACTGCTGAGACTTAAACCCGGAGCTCTCACATGTTTTCCACAGCTGAGCCTGCTCTGTCTGTTCACAGGAGCCCAAGAGACGCGGCATTTTCCAGCTGGTGGACAGTGGCAGCAACCTCACCACGGATTTAATTGTGCAAAGAATCATCAAGAACAGGTTGGCTTTCTTATCTCCCAGCTCTGTTGTGTGCGGTTCCATCCAGCTTGTCTGGGGACTAATTAATGGGATCAAAGTGGAAGAGAAGGGTTTGTCTAAAGGCACGGAGTCGGTGAACTGGTCCTTCGCCTTCTGCAGCCTGGGCAGGCTGCTCAGGTCTGGGTGCACTGGACTGGACGGGAGAAGGAACAGCTAAACTCTGCTGCTTCAGAATGTGCTTCTTGGCACGTTTTATTATTTCTCCTCCTCTGTTAATGATAACATTTCCTTCCTGTATTCTTGGGGAAGGAAGCATGTTGCTTCTCTCAGAGCTCTGCTTTTTTAGGCCTGAGCCCTTCACCTTCAGTGACCTTGGCTCAGGTCAGTGATAAACTTGACTTTGGTATTATGGCACTAAAAGTAGTCCCAGGATGGACCAAGCATGAAATAGCTGTGTCTTCCACAGAGGAAGAAATAAGTAATGTTTGAGCAGTGGGGGAGCCTGGGACCGCGGAGTGATGGGAACAGGCTTGGCAGGCTCTGGGTGCTGGATCTTGAAGAGGGGTCTGGGGGTGCAGTGGGGGTGCGGGTGAGCTCCCCTGGTCCAGGTGCTTTTAGTCCACTGGAGATACGGGTGGATGAGAATCTCACTTTGTGATTGATGCAGGCTGGAGTTTGAGGCCAGGAACCAGAAGAAGGAAGCAAAAGAGCTGGCGGTGTTGGAGGCCATGAGGAGACTGGACGAGGAGAAGCACTAGGCCAGCCCTGAGCTGACGGGTGGGTCGCAGAGCGCCGCAGCCTCGTGCTCTCGAGGAGCCGAAGCTCTTTGAGGGGGACCCCGGAGCGGGGACACCGCTGCTGGCACGCAGGATGTGCTGTCCTACCCCTTCTGTCCTTGCTCCTCCGGCACTAATTACGCAGACATAATGAGTCGGGATCCTGCTGCCTAGTTTTTCCTCTGTTAATCAGCCCCCCGTCCCCTTTCCCAGGAGGAGATCTGAGGAGATCTGACAAAAGAAAAAAACCTCGATTTTAATTATAACTAATGTTTTAACATGTTGATGTGCTTTTACCTTCTGCCATCTCTGGCTTTTAGTAAGAGGGATGTGGAGCTGCTGCCTCAGCCCCTCCATTTCGGCTGCCCTGACCCGCGTCTGCGCTAGGGAGCCGCCCTTTGGGGGTGGGGGGCGGCCCCCCCCGGCCCGGGGACGGTTGCGGCCCTCGCCGTTCCTCTGCCGGGCCCTCGCTGCGCCGGTTGCTGGAGGTGCCGGTGGCCCCGGGCCCGGGGTTCACAAGCACCAGCCCCAGAGCCAGGTGGGCTTTGGCTGGACGAAGCCCCTCGCCGCTGTGTCCGGCACCGGGGGCTCGTTTGGTGCCTCAGGAAGGGGCTGGGGGTGCGAGGACCCGGCACTTTCCCTGGTGGGTTGAGGCGTTTCTCCGCCCGCGGCTGGCCTGTTGCAGCCCCTGCTCGGAGCCCTCCTGCTGCTGCCGACGTCCAGCGTGTGCCTGGCGCTGACTGCAGGGAGGGCCCTGACGTTTCACGCCTGTTTGCTGACGCGCAGCGCGGGTGCCCCTGGGGGGAGGCGCGGGGACGGGTGCTGGGCTGAGCCCCTTCCCCGCTCTTACATTCCTGGGTGCTGTGGCGGGGCCCTGGGCCGCTCCCCGCGCGGCGCTGTGCTGGACGGTCCTTCCATGCCGGTTCTGTTGTCCTCTCTGTTGTAAACTTTTGTTGCTGATCATTAATAAAATGTTGATGAGGTGTGTGTGGGTCTCTCTGGGCCTCGAGCCTGGGTAGCGGGGGGGCCAGGCCCCTGGTTGGAGCAGTTCCCTGGAGCTCCGTTGGGTGCCGGGGAGCGGCTGCTAGAGCCCAAGAACCAGCTCGTTGTCCCCAGGCAGCCCAGGCTGAGCCCCAGGGAGCATTGGGTTTGTGGCAGGGAGCTCAGGGCTTGCTCTGGCCAGAAGCTGTGCTCAGGGCAGGAGGAGTTTTATTCTGAATTCACTAGAAAATTGAACTAGACACTGGGGAGGGGTTGTCTTTGCTCTGTTCTGCAGTTTCTGGACTCAAAGCGCAGCAGAATTGGCACAGGAAAGGTGAAGAGTCTCAGCAGTTCCGTGGGTACGTAACTGTGGTGGTACCGAGGGAGGAGGTGACCCGATTCTGAGGGCTCAGGGTGGGTCCGTGCTGGGACAGCGCAGCCGCGGACGAGCTTGGGGTCGCACGGCCGAGTAGTGGCTGATCCCAGAGTCTGTGCTCGTGTGTTGGCATTCCAGCGCCATCCACAACAAGAGCCAAGACTCCCACCCGTGTGGGATCGCTCCTGCTGGGCATGAGGGACCGGAGAGCCAAGAGCCTCCCGTCCCCTCCCGATGTAGCTGGAGCCCCCGGGGTGCTGGGGGCTGTGACAGCAGCTGCATCCCTGTGCCTGCAGCCGGCGCAGTCACTCCTCGCCCCCAGAACACCGTGACGGAGCCGTCAGCCCCTTCCCGGGCTCCGCCGGCTGCCGAGCGCACAAATAACCCTTCCCCGGAGAGAGTTCGTCATTAAAAAGAAACAACTCAGCCACGGTGACACATCCACCCCGGGCTGAGCGTTTGCATGTAAACGAGCTGCCTCTGGGCTGCGCACAGGTACGGCTGTTATTAAAAAATGACAAAAGCACTTTACTGCCACTCCCGCCATGCGCAGGCGCCTGCTGGTGGAACCGATCTGTGAGGAAACGGCTCAGCTGGAGCACGGCGGAGCTGCTGTTCCTTGGGGCCTCTGAGTTTACTCTGAAAACTTTTGCCTACGATGTTCTTTCCTCCAAGTGCCTCTGGGCCCTTCTTCTAAGCTTGTTTACTGACAGCCTGTCAGTCCCAGGGGCAAAATAGGGCATGGAGTTAAAATGCAGGGGGACAGGGAAATGTCATGGTTGTGACTATTTTCTGTGGTTCGTTGGGATCTGGGGTTTGTTTTTTTCCCCCAAGCACAGACGATTAAGATGCTGGTTCCTGCCCCGATCCCAGAGACACCCCCCCCGACATTTCTCCAACGGGTGTAACAGGCACCTTGAACCCTGTCAGAGCCGCTGTGACTGCTGCGGGGAGTGACAGCGTCAGCCCAGGCCCTGCTGGGGAGCAGGGCTGGGGCTCGTCCCCCCAGGGCCCCATTAGCCATGCCCAGGAAGGGCCATGGAGTGAGTGGGCCCCGATGGCCAGCAGGTCACCGCTGGCCACTGCCCCGGCCAAAGCCCGGCCCAAGCCCCTCACAGCACATTCCCCCCCCACTCAGGGTGGGTTGGGGCTCTGCCGCTGCCCCCACATGCGGCGGCTCCAGGCAGGAGCTCGGCCGTGGCACCGCTGCGGGCGGGGGCTGCACCCAGGATACCCCCGTGGCTGTGCAGCCGGTCCCGAGCTGCCGGAGCCCTCGAGGCACCTGCAGGATTTCAGGGAATGGGCTGAGCAAGGGCCCTGCCAAGGCCTACGGGGTGTCCTGGTGCATCGTGCCCGTGGGGCCCCTCACAGGGGGGCTCCTTGCATAAAGGGGGCGGCTGGTGTTTGCCAGGGGCCAGGCTGGGCCCCGGCGACCCTCACGGGGACTGAGTGTCCCTGCGGGGGAGCAGCTGCCCCCCTGTTCATGTCACCAAGCCCAGGTGCAGGTGGGGGCTGTGCCCACGTCCCCCGCAGCAGGAGGCAGGTGGGTGCTGCCCATCCAACCCTCTCAGCAGCCTGGAGCTCCCCAGACCTGGGCGCCTGCCCACCCCCAGCACCCCTCTCCCTCCAAGGACAGAGGCAGCAGAGCCAACCCAAGCACGTTTATTGTCACCACGGAGCCACTGGTGCCGGCTCAAGCATCTGCACACTTTGCAGGGTCCAAGGCCACGGTCACGTCCACCCTGCACCGGAGAGCACCGGGGGCTCCAGGCAGCACCCGGCAGCTCCGCGCCTTGGGGGTCACATCTGTCACGCACAGCGCCTGCGGGGAGACCGTCAGCAGGGACCGAGGTCCCCAGGTACTGTGGCACAGGTGAGGGGAGTCGGGGTGCCCCCACGGTGCCCCAGCTGCGGAGCACCAGGGGGCACTGCCCGTGCCCAGCGTCCCGCGGGGGGC